ATTATTTGATAGACTCTGCTACATCTGACACCATATTTGACTAAAAGTGCTTCTCGCTTTCTTCTTCCACTTCAGAAATAGTTCATAAATTATTTGTTAAATTAATAATTCTGACATGGTTTGGACGTATTTAGTTCTTTTCCAGACTTTGATTCTGCACCCCCATTGATGAAATAGTCTTTCGGGGGTCCATTTTATAATCCACTTTTGTCAGTTGTATAAAAAATTACGATTAAACTGACGAGAACAGACTGCATATTCCCATTAAGCCGGTTCCAAAAATGGAGATGAAGAAGAACGAATCAATTGGGTCGAGTCATTTCATCGAGCAGAAGATAGCATAATGGCGGAGGAAGAAAGATTAAATAAACCAAACCTGACCTCAATAGGCAAAGCATCCATATCTGCTCTTAGAGCGACAAAGGGAGGAGAACCAGAGCCGACCGAAGCCACTACGCCGGTACCGGCGACTGGCCACCGGTAAGCAACGCCGAGATGATCAAGCTCCTGCCTAATAAGCCTGCTGGTTTCAAATTCTTCATAAGCAAGCTCTGGGTTCTCGTGGATTTTTCTCCTTATTGTCTTTATCCAATTTGAAGTACTGGGATCACTGGCGAGCTCCATAATTTGGTGTATGAGTGAGGAATTTTGATTCGTGTGGAGGGAACTGGGGCTGGTTCCATGGGCGGTAGCTTCAAGCTTCAGAGAGAAGCAGAAAATGGAGGTGATGAATATGGAGTAGAGAAACTCCATATGGCTGAGGAGAAGACGTTGTAATAAAGCGAATCGAACATCTATTTGTACTCAACTGATGAACAGTATCCCCGATCGTTTGCCCCCTCCTACTTCTATCAAATCAATTGAAAAATAATTTTGGGCTGAATCCTATTTTAGCAGAACATTTTTGGATTTGTTTATTTTTTAGTTTGATTTTTTTATAAAAAAATTAGCTAAATTATTTTATTTCAGTTTAAAATTTTTTTTAATTAAAATTTTTTTTTAATACAACGTTGGAGAGATTCAAACTATGCTCGCTTTGACATTTATTTTAATTAAACTTCATAAAATTTATCAAAATTTTACCATAAACTTGCAATTTCATCGAATAGCAATTTAGATACGTGTCACGGTCTGTTTTAAATTTTAGAAAGTATTGTAATTTTTACAATAGTTTTCGTTTGAAGAATATTTGAAAAACATTTTTCATGCATGCCTTGTATTTAATAGGAGTTTTGTAGGACATCCAATGGTACCTGTATAGAACCTCAACCTAGTATGGAATTCAACAAGATGTGGTCTAAAAAGTTTATACTTTTGTCGGGCCTCCTAAATTCAAATTTAAATAGTTTCACACATTTCTTTATATTCACTAAAATATATTGGAAGAAAATTACAACTAAACTCTAAAATTTCTAAACAAAAAACTAGTAAAGTAGCGATTTATTGGAATTTTAATTATTCTTATGAGTCAACAAATGAATAATGGAATTGGAACCGCTGACATTAAAAAGGTAGTATTTAGTTACAATAAAGTTTTCTTGAAATTTTAATAGTGTTTTCTTAAGAATATGAAATTTTAATGGTTTATTCCATTTATTGTGTATTACAAAATAGTTTTGATTACTTCATTGCAAATTTAATAATTTTCTTTTTTTCCTAAAATGAAGTAATGGCTCAACTACCCGTACAAATTCCTTTCCAGAAAAAATAAAATAAAATGTTAGTCACGTGACACACATGTCTGTATTATTATTCTTATAATATAATCATTTATCATTTAAACTCGATTTGGAATTTAAAATTTAGTTTTGAGAGACCAAGTGGCCTATTGATTTTTAATTTCGAATGGTCTCCCTGCTGGATATTTGAAAATGTGGGGGAAGTCCGTAAGTTTTTGTGGAAAAAATCTCAAAATTCCAAAACTGATTGGTGTTATTTTATCATGATTGGACAAGATTTTTCCCGTGCATATTATGTTGCTATCAAGTATCAATTAATAAATTGATTTTTCGCAGTACATCAAATTTATGGGACATATGAAATTCATTCCTACTCGCTATTCTATTCTTTCATTGTAGAGTAAGATTTAAGTTTTCATTCCACATTTTAAATGGCAATATTAAAAGTATATCATCCTGTCTTTTCTTCTCCCATAGAATAAGCATTTTTATTTCATAAGAGTATAAGTTATTTTGTATATTCAACTAAAAAATATAGTAAAAATAGTACATAGATATTCTATTTAGGAATCATAATTACGTAAAAAGATAGAAAAGTATAGAATTTATATTTTGTCATGAAACAATCTCAATTACTAATATATCCATAAGATCTATCTCAATATTAAATAATTATTAAAATATAGAATTGGTAAAGTGGGAGGAAATCCCTTAAAACAATGTGCTAATTACATTTCCAAAATTGAAAAATCCCAAAACTTCCAAATTTTCAAAACTTCCGTTCTTCTTCCTAGTTTTTCTTTCCTTCCTCCGAAACCTCCATTCCTCTTATCCGACCGTCGTCGCTCTCCCTTCCTATCCGGAGGCAGTCGCCTTCGCAAGAGCATTTCATTTCGTCGATTCCTATTCTCCACTAGTTTCTGCCTGCCTTCGTCTCCAACCTCCTCCATTTTTTTTCAGTTGCTAGAGCAGTTCATCTCCAATTTGAAGGTTTTGCACTCCATCTAATAAGTTTCAATTTCTGATTTCGTTTGTTTGAAATATTGTATATGTGAGGATATATAGTATAGTGATTAGATTAGGATATATATTATAACTCAAGTTTTATATATACAGATATATATTGATGGTGATTTAAAAAACTAAGAATCTGGTGGGTATATACTGCCTACAATATTATACTGGTAGATATATACCGTTTGTGATTTATATCTTGGCTTTCTGATGTATATATGCAGATATATAAGTGAATATATCTTATAACTCAACTTGTATATATGCAGATATGCGGATATATACTATAGTGATTTTGAATGTATATATACAGATATATAAGTGGACATATACTGTGATTTTGAATATATTTTTTGAATATGCGGATATATGCTCATTGAAGCTCCAAAATATGTTTATCTGATTTTGAATTGTCCTTGAAGATTGAGTAAGGTGTGGGAGTAAATTAAGGGAATATCAATCTTTTTTAAGGAGTAAATTAAGGTTTTAAAAGAGTGAATTAAGAGATTTGGGTTGAAAATTGGTGTGAGACCCACATTAATTAATTAAAGGATTATGATAATAATTTATGGAATTAAATCTTTTATATTTAAAAAAAAAGCAAATAACTATAATAAATGTAAATGCAATAAATAGGAGTAAATTCGAAATTAAAATAAAATCCGATGAAAAAATCTAAAAGTAAAATTAGAAAATTTTAGACAAATAAGTTTCTAAAATAACTCTGAAGATATCATCTCTAAAAATAATATAAAGTAGTTTATATAGTTAAATAATTCCAGTGTCAAATAAAAATGCATTAATTAACTATGTTATATTTAACTCTAATAATAGAAGCCTGAAGGTGGTGCCTACATTCTAAGCTTCTTATTGCATTTTTTATTCAAACCTAAATTGAGATATTTTGTTCATAAATACGAAGTAGTTAGATATTATTCTTCAATTTCATAAATATTAAGCCAAAATGAACCTAGGTCAATTTTAATTGACATATATCTTCCAATTAAGAGATCGTGAGTCTGATCCCCACTCCCGCATAAAGAAAAAAAATGATAAATATCAATAAGCAGTAAAATTGATATATTTTGGAGTTAAAGACAAACTAAAAAAGAGACTGAAAAGTATTGTATGGTTTATTGAAGCAGAAGCAGCGGCAATTATTTTGTGGTACTCCTTGCCCAAAACCTCTCCGTTATCCAACATTTAGGGTAACGTACATTTTAACTTTGCAGTAAAAGAATTATTTGCCCTTATTTTGAACTTGTATCTCGTTTTGTTTTTAAGCATCCACAATCGAATCTCATGAAACATGTGAAAGAACCCACATGGTACATCAAATCAATCCTTTTATTTCGTGACAGTATCTTTTATGTAGAATTAATTAATTAAAATACATATGCTCACAAGCCACGTATCAATTTCAATATCTTCTGGGTCCAACTAGTTGAGACACTTATCTATGACGAAAAAATCATGAGTTCTAATTCTCACCCGCACGTTTTATATTAAGAAAAAAGACAATTTCTACGTTAGTTAGAGAAGGAAGAGATATATAGGTGAGTACAATTTTATCATATTATTGTGTACATAGGTGGACATTTAAGAACTATGTGGTGTGAGTCCATTCGGACAAGAAACCTCCACATTCTCACAATAGTATGATGTTGTTCATTTTAGACATAACCCTCACGGTTTTATTTTTTATTTCACCTAAAATACTTCATACAAATGGAGATGTTATGCCTCCCATGGTCTTCTTCTTCCCTAACTTAATGTGGAGACAACACACCCCACAACAAAAATAGATTTGTAGAAAGAAAGAATGACGAAATTTGTCGAAGCATCGAAAAGGTCACCAACCGAACTTACAAAAAGGAGCAAACCCAGACCATGAAAGGAAAGGGAGGTTCAACACCCGTCCTATTAAGGTTCAATACTCTTTGTGTTAGGCTTTCCCTGAGTCTCATCTACGAACTTTAGAGATAGGTGCGATCTTGGGCCTAGTCAGTCAGGGCCCGCAAGTGACTGTGTCAAACTTAGAGTAGAGACTTTTAAGAGTTACAAACTCCCAAACCCTAGCCAGAACACTACTTCCAGTCCGGTTTTGAGGTCTCCTCCCCTTTTGGAAGATGAGAGGAGGGAATTGGATGGGTGAGGAGTTGCGTGGTGATGTTTGGTTTTGGTTGGGTTAGGAATGGCACGTGAAAGTTATGGGTTAATGTGGGGGGTGGAGTGAATAAAACAGGCCATGGTCCTTTTCTATAGTATAGATGCCGCGCCGTCCACTGTGACTGTGAAAGGAATGTGGGCCGGACCGGCCCCAAATTATCATCATCATCATTATTATTATAGGCCTCATTCTCTTCTCTTTTCTACTTCTGTCTCTCTCACTCACCTCATCTCTGCACCCTGCATAAGCTGCCAAAACTCTTCCACCTTTTTCTTCAACTTTTGCTTCTTTTTCATTTCTAAACTTCAACTTTTGCTTTCTGGTCCTTCAATTCTTTTAAGTTTTAAGTTTGGTGGGTTTGCCTCTTCCATCTTTAACCATCTTTCGTTTTCATTCTTTGATTTTTGTAACTACTTCTTTTATCTCCTTTCTTTGTCAATTTATCTTGTTTCTTTCTTTCTTTCGTAATTTTAACATGACATTTCACTCACAATTTTTTGAACTTTTGTATGAAAAGTTTCCATTGTAAGATCTTTTTTAAAAGTATAGAAATCAAAATAAACAAAAATTAAAAGTATATATACCAAAATATACATTTTAAAATAACATTGACCAAATTGAACCAAGGAAAAAGTAAGAGACAAAAATAGTATTTAAACCTAATAATTACTATGAATTTGACTCATCTAAAGTATAGTTACATAAATAGATTAAGCACTTATTAGTATTCTTAAAGTTAAAGTTGATAGTTGAATCTCCTATTCTTGCAATTGTCAAATTTAAATAATATATCATCGTAACTATGGAATTATGGAAAATTTAATAAAAGTTTTATGAAAGTTGAGATTTTTCAAATTAAATGACTGAAATAGAAAGTATGATCAAAACCGAAATTTCAAAATTCTACCGATAAAAGTAAAAACTTACCTAAAATAGTTATATCAGCCCTGCCTTCCCATATTTAAAAGGTGGTAAAAACTGTATTAAAAGAGGAGGGAGAAAAAAAAGGAAAGGTGGTAAAAAATCATCAATGTTTTTGAATTTCGAAGGGACAAAGTTTCGCCGTTGAAGTTTGAAAATATTTTAATTATGACTTTATTGAATATTTGTTTCTGATATAAAGGCAAAATTAATGAAACTAACTAATAATGATTTGATCCCGTAAAAAAAATCTAATAATAATTTGATATAAACAAGAGAATAGTTCAACAGAATATAAAATATCAACAAAAAAAAATACGATGTACTTTGTTATCTTATCATCTTGTCATCTTGTTTCATCAAATTTTTTAAAATTTCACTTTTTAGAATTACTCTTAAAATTGAATCAAATTTTAAAAACTTAAAAATAATTATAAAAAAAAAAAACATGTTTGCATTAGCTGTAATTTCAAATATGTTGTTGGAAAGTAAAAGACAAGTCAAAAGAAAATATTGATAAATTAAACTACTATATTTTAAACAAAAACACAAATTTAGAAATAAAATTATCATCCAATAGTGGGTTTAATATTTCATTCTTCTTGTCTTCTAGCGTTCCGCACCAAATTTCACCTAATAAATACTCGAAATCCAAGGACCGAAAGTTAGATATATTCAAATTTTTTTTTATCCCTTTTATTGTTTAGTCAATGAAATTAAAAAATATATAAATATGAAACGAATAATATATTTCACATGGAACATAAAATTAATCGGTACTTCTATAACATCAGAATTAATTTATAATAATCTTTGCACCGATAAATTTCCCATGTTTATATATTTATATAAACATGTGGAAGAGTAGATGGACAATATACTATTATAATATAATATATTATTATATTTATTAATTAGTGCTCTTTCTCTGAACAGTATAAACAAATATATAAACAAAGTCGATATTGATGAGCAGTCAAATGCCTTTGTATATTTTAAGTGATATTAGTTGATTTGGGTTGACTAATTGTTAGCATCAATTAATTAATCAAACATTATTTAATGGATTATGGGAACCAGGGATGATCTAGTAACACAGACTATTCTAATTAATGATTTATCCTAACAATTAATTAATTAATTAATTTAAGCTCTCTATAATATTCTATTCTATTAATATAATCTCTTTGGACCGCCACCCTTCTCTATTGAAGCTAACACCACCACATCATATGCTTTAGCTTTATAATACAAATCAACGCAACCATTTTACATATATTTATACGTATTTTTTATGCATCCAAAAATAAAAACCATACTTTCGGCTCTAAAATATTATGTTAAATTAAAATTTCATCCATTAAATTTTAAACTTTGTGTTTATTTAGTTTTTGTAGTTTAAAAAATGTATAACAAATCATTATAAATTTTTAAGGTTACAATTATTTAGTTTACGTTTCATAAATTTCTAAAGTTGACGGTGGGCTAATTTTGACTATAAACCTTAAATAAAATGTCCTAACTTAATATCAATATAAACATAATAACTCAACTCAAACTAGTTAAAACAAACACACTTAATTCTGACTAAATGGTCGTGAGTTCGATTCTCCACCCCTAAAATCCTAACTTAACCATAAATATTTCATGATGCCACTAATTAAAATTTAAGAACTTAATAAAAATTAAATAGACTCAACCATATATATATACTAAGAGAGAGACTCGACCAAACTTGTAATGGTAACAAAAAAAATCATAAAATTTGTATTGATGGGCTTAATTTAGAATTCCGATTGCTACAAGAGATTAGGAGCTAAATTTAAGAAGCTAATTGAGACCAAGATGAAGATCCAAAGATTTACAAGAAGGGTTTTGTTTGGAAAGAGGCAAAGAAGAAGAAGAAGAAGAAGAGGAGTAGAAAACGAGAGGGTTGGGTGGTCCGGACGACGTGTCGGGCTGCGTCAAAGTGAACAACCGTCTTTCTTGGGGATCGAAATGGATAAACTCGGCGTCGTTTGGGCTGAAACTAATTTGAGAGGAATCGTGGGAGTAGAGAAAATTATTATTGTTGGAGGTCTGAAATTGAAATGGGTGTAGATAGTAACTGAGAGTGGCTTTTCTGGCTTGGAGTTGCATCCTTTTCTTCTTCAATCTCTCTTTCTTGTGGGCATTTTGATGGCCTCCCAAAGCCTGAGAATTTGTGAACTCTTTGAAGCAATATTGGCACTCGAATTTTGGCCTCTTAATCACAACAATGGCGGCCTCTGATCTTTCCACGGTGGTTGAAGAGTTCACACTTTCATCTCCTTCACCCGAACCCGACATGTCGTTCTTTGATGGCTTCAGCTCAAACCCAAAAAGCTTCACTTTTTTCTCACCACAACCACCTGAAGAAAATAACCCACTTTCTCCTTCTTCCAAATTACAACCCCATGATTCATTTCCCATATTGGTGTTGAAATAGAGAGAGAGAAAAAAAAAGAAAAATAATTTTATGGGAAGCAAAGCGATTGAATTTAATTTTGGGACTACTTGAGAATTGAGAGTTGAGAGAGATGGGTTTCTTTTTATACTGAAATTTGGGTTACAATGATATGGTGCTAATTTTGCATAATAGTGTGTGACATGTCAAAAGAATAAATATTTTAATTTAATAATAATCGATGAAACGGCAACGGCAAGCCAAGAGGTCA